CAATAAATTATTCTAAACTGTGATACTTCATAGTTGACCTGTAGTCTGTAATAATTGCTCATGTTAATGAGCTTCGTTAATAGTTTAATGAATCGTCAGCTTTCTTGAAGGTTGTTTAAAGAATGTAAACAATTATTTGATGTTTAAAAATCAACAATTAGTCCATTTTATCCGAACTTTATGAATTGATTTTTTGGGGGAATGGCACAACTAAACGATGGTAATTTGTAATGAACATATACGAGAAACATGTACAATAATGATTGAAATTTGCTGAATATTTTTCGAGCTATCTTCTTTTCATATGGCACTTTTAGCTTAATGACGCATTATAATTAATTTCACGTAGCATAATGATGCCTTCTTCTCACTAGAAAATGTTTGCCGAAGTTTCAACAGTTTCACTTTCAGATTCAAATGTGTTTTTTTTTGTATTTCGAAAATCTGTAAAATGCTGGGTTTTTTTTAAATTTGTTCGAAATGAAAGCAAGTGACAATCACATTTTTTTTCGTATAAATTTTGAAAAATAACATTTAAATTCTATTATTAAATTCATCTTTGATATAAGGGTTTTACGAGGGAGATAAATTCCTTAGCTTAAAATGATTTCAAATATTTTATAACAGCAAATTTTAATCAAGCCTTATATCCGTATTTCCATGCCAGTTCTTAAGTAGTGGCTACTTGGCTAGTGATACACTCGAAGACTTACAGTCCACCATTAAAGGTATCAACCCAGTGATAGTAACAACATTAACGGCACTAATGTTACTACACCAGACTCGTATTTCGATAATTAATGTATCTTTGCTGATGCTCGAGGCCGGAATATTTGAATAGTCCATTCCGGTCGGATGGGACTGCATATTTATATTCCCAACAACAAAATGGACATTCTTCATAGCTTGGTTTTTACTGGCAATGACTGTTGCTAGAAGGTCTTCAGAATAAAATCAAACGTTTACATATCTTAGAAATATAAAGACAAATTAAATATAAGTATCACTATGGTTAAAAGCTAATGTATTGAAAAAAAATCTTCGGTTAATAAAGTTTGTTATTATTTAAACACATATCTTGCATGTCTTGGTTTTCATGTTCATTTACTTTTTTTAATTTCAAATTCATACGTGTTTGATTATTCCAATTAGTGTATATCCTTTTTTACAAAAAAAACAACGTAATATACAACTATCATTTAGATTAGTTTCAAAGTAATTGACAGCGATGTCTTTGTTTCCAATGAACTGTGTATCAAGGGAAATCATTAAAAGAATGATTGATTAACCAAAACAATATTTGACTTTGAAATCGAAATTCAGTAAAATTGTATGGAAATTGATTATGAATTAGTTTACATTCACTCATCATGTTTTTGTCACCGCCTTGTTTTGACTTTTTTTACCAGTTGTGTTGAATAGAGATTTTGGTCAAATCTTTATAAAATTCGTATATTTTTTAATTTAACGTATTTCAAAAGTTCTATGAATCCGTTTACTGTTATGTATTAAAAAAAAATGTTCCAGACATTCAATAGTATTTGATGTTGTGCCAATCTTTTCTTTTTACAATTTTTCAAAAAAGTGCTGAAACAAGACGAGTTGGATGATACCATAATGGGCAATCAAAAACAATAAGTCGACTTAAAACAGACAATAGTATGGACAAAAACGAAAAACGCCCAAAAGACAAAAATCAGTTAACAAAACTTCACAAAAAGTAACTCTAGGTCCGTTTTTAAAGAAACCAAGAGGAAACAATCTTCCGAAAACATAAAGGATCATTCAGTTCTTAGTAGTAAAACAAAGTATCACTACTAAAAAAAGGTTTTTAGACGAACAAAAAATGTGATTATTGTATTGCGCTAAGATCTTATAATACAAATACTTACACCAGTAAAACAGGACACAATCAAGTTTTCAGGAAACATGTTTCTGAAAGAAAAAAACATTATCAATAATACGAGATTCAAAATTCAGTTCTTAGATGAGTATATCTTTTATATGAATAATCAAATAAAGCAAAATATACAACTATGATTTTATGTTTCATACATTTGATATGAAAAAAACTGTAAGATTGTTGTTAATAAGGTATACAATGTCCCAGGTAAGAAGGGTTAGCGTCGCAAACTTATTACCAGTCCCAATTCAAGAGCCTGTAATTCAGTGGTTTTCCGTTTAAATTGGTTTACGTTTTGTCATGTCGGAACGTTTTACATATAAAACTAAGAAGATGTGGTATGATTGTAAATGAGACAACTTTCCAACAGAGACCAAATGACGTAAATGTTAGCTATTACCGGTCACCGAACGGCCTCGTCAATGAGCAAAAACCATACCGGATAGAAAGCTATAAAAGGCCCGACATGCCAAGTGTAAACAATTCAAACGCGGAAACTAACGGCCTAATGTACAGTATGTACAAAACAATAAACGAAAAAAATATGAGCTCTATAAACAATATCCAGTAAAAATTAGGATGTGATGTGCCGTTTGTAATAGTCTTATACAGGTACAGCTAAACTTCCATACAAATTATTCTGTGTATCTATGAAAGAATTTAGTGAAGGCTTTTCTTTTAGTAACCAATACAGAGTGGGGACCTTCAAATGTTCAGAGGGGGCCTTAAGGTCATATATGTTAATGATACTTTTTCGCTCTCTGTACAGAGCACGAACCTGAATGCAGAAATTCATTATTTTATTCTTTAGAACTTCCGTGTATTATAAGTTATACCATCACCCCTTCCGAGTACTTGAAGTTTATTTCTTATTGTTAAAATGGGTATAGCATGTACCTTTTTTTTAATTTCTGAATTATTTTCAAAATTTGATGCTCGAATATCCACCATATTCATACATTAACTAAACAAATAATCAAGAAACTTGTTATCAGATTTTCCCCGTTAACACCAACTTTTACAATAAGAAGAAAGAGTGTCTTTAATGACCTGATGACACTTTTTAAAAATTCATTTTGATGGATGACGATATGTTGGTCCTTTTTTAACTTACTATATGGTATGGCCTTTTCATTGTTGAAGGCACGTACGGTGACCCCGACATCATTATGCGTCTGATGCATAGTTGTCATATTGGCAATCAGTGAATATGACATTTGATGATATTTTTAATCAAAACTGTTGTTCTTTTCTATACCTAAGACAACACAGGAAAGAAATTAGCATGATCACGAATAAACTGAGACAAACGTTCTAAACTTCAAGGTATATTTAGACATATCAGAAATTTATTTTAATATATACTGGCTAGTTTAGGTAATGGCATTTTTGTAAATGTACTGTTCATAAAATTCTAAAATCATTCGAAATACTAACGGTAATACTTGAAATAAAAGAAATGGCTTCAACCTAAATCTTAAACTTCTTAAAGATTTGACCCTTCAACTGGACGAAACGCGCGTCTGGCGTACAAAATTATAATATCTTTGATGAGGTTTTTTCAGGTGAAAATTTGATTATGATTCTCAACGGAAAAACTGCCGTGTTATTAACATAGTCCCAACTGGTTACGGATTTTACAGTGTACGAAACTTTCCACTTGTATCAAAGTCACTTAAATTTCAGTTATGTATCATTCCTTAGAGCTTATAATTTACTACGGCAGTGGTTCATTCCCGTCTTGTTAAACTTATCATAACTTCAAATCAAGGTTATTGTTAATCAAACCGAAAAACATATCGCTAGAAGTCAGTTGAGACACATACACATCGTATCGGTCAACCAATTCGTGATGGTCATCATTAAACTTATGTAGCGTCGATTTCAGTCGTGTTTCCTCATAGTTATATTGGAGCAGTTTTTGTGACGTGCAGACCTTCTGGTTTCTGTAGTATTATTAACGTCAAGTTCACTGAGATATATGAGATGCAAGCACGTAAGCTAACTGAAAATGTTGGTCAACTTATATTTTGTAAACGTTAAAAAAAATATATGTTACCAAAATTTAACCTACAAGTAACAAGAGGCCACACAGATGGTCTAATTTTTAATTTAATCTTTTATTTTTTTAAAGAGGATTGCCAACAGTCAGAGACTACGTGTGGGTCTCCTCGTTGTTTTACATGGTCTATATACCTAAAAAAAAAGAAAAGAAACCAGTGTAACTTGTTGAGTAATGTATTTTTAATACTGATAAAATTGTATTCCAGTTGTGAAACATACAAAATTTACAATAAATATGTCGTAACATTTTAGAAAGGCGCATTACTAAATGAAATAATGGCCAAGGCAAATTTGATAGTACATACATGTACATGTCAACATGTGTTCTTCTTGTCCGAAAATAGTCAATTATTCTAATATCAAATAAGGGATTCGAAAATCAGAACAAAAAGGAGTTGTTTGATCAATAGATAACATCGAACAGATCTTTTCATAATTCTAACGATGGCAATATATATACAGCAATGATACCTTTATATAAAAATCCATCAATGTTTGATGAAAACATTAACTAAATGAATGTCGGTCATGAATTTATTATCCCTGTCGTGCAATTTCCTTTACATCGGTACAAAAATATATTTTAAAATTAGAACTAAAATGCCGGAAATAATGTGCCGCGGCACTGTCATTTTTCATCTATACATATCCATCGGCCGTAAATTATTAAAGAATATACTCAATAAAATGACGTTAAGTACTGCCAAACAGAAAAATAAGAAGATTTTTATTTGATCTCTAATCAATGATACGAGAAAAGAACTTATATAAATGAATTTGATGCGACCGGATCAATATCGGATCCGAAATGAAAGATATAATGAAAAATGCATTATCTACTTGCACGTTATTCCGAGAAATAAGAAGAAATATTGATAGAAGAGCTGACTTAATTTGTTGATAGAAAGTTGTTAAGAAGTTGTCAAGTCCTATACGACCTCTTGAAGAAGTGATGACGTTGAACGACTAGTACCAAAGATTTTATTAATCGAACGATAAATTTGTTATGATTAAGTGTTTTTGCAGATAGTACCCTTGTAAGAAGATTCAGAAGACATTTTATATATATGACAGTAACGATTATATTAACATTTCCATTTAAAACTGCAATAAAAAAAACCATCTATACTACATAAAAGATTTCTTCAATTTGGTACAACTTTATAATAATTATGAAATACAAATAACTCTATTTCACTTGTATTAATCTTTGATTTGGCAAAAGTTTTATGATTAAGAAATACACAATAAAGCTATGTAGACGGATCAAATTCGGTAACTTTTATCTAAATTTCCTAACAGATTAAACACATTAAATTCATGATAAACTCATCAAAGATATCAGGATTAAAATTGTACGCCAGACGCGCGTTTCGTCTACAAAAGATTCAACAGTGACGCTCGATTAAAAATGTTTAAAATGCCAAAAATATTTTCAGAAATTAAGTAAAATCCACAACTGAGAAATGAGAATAACACTCAAAGCCGAAAATTTGACAGCCAAGGGTGTATAAGTACTGAAACACGATAAGAGCTTCATGACAAAAAAAAAAGACTATAGTGATTTAGAACATAAGTTTCATAATAATTTCTAAATTTATCAACGGAGAAATTAAAAAATGTTTATCTGAATAAAATTCAGATCTATCGGAACTCACCTGCTCGTCATATGAGGATAACAAAATCAGAGATCTATATTTTGAAAAGATTGGACAAAATATATGTTTTCAATCATGTCAATACCAAAGCACTGACTACTGATACTAGCCTGGGTGCATAGGTACCTCATTATATTAAGAGCTATATAACCAAAAGGGATGGAAAGTCATAACACAATTCGTCATTACACAAAATATCGTTTCAAGTAGCCTTAAAAAATCATCCAAATGTTGTGTTCATTGTCTCAATCTTTTATTATTGTGTCTCTCGCTGATATTAGAATATATCAAATGTATCATTATATCGTGTGTATTTAAATAAATGTTATCAGATAAATGAATAGCACTTCTAAGTTTTAGCACAATATTACAGAATTCAAAGACAATTCTTTCGGATACATGACAATTCTTTCATATAGTACAATAAATTGTTAACAGTGCAGATAATGTTACGCATTATAATGTTTACTCGAAAAAGCTGATGAAGGCTGATGTAACTTACAATCTCGTCAAGATAGAGACAATTTAAATGAAAAGAGTTTCGATAGGGTATACTGTATTCGTGGCTTCATCCGTAATACGATTCTAAAATTACACCCAGAGGTATGTTTCACAACAAGAAAAGTGACAAAATGTGAGAAAAAAACTCAGACTGACAAGAAAGAATGCACAGTCTTTTACATTGAACACAACTCTCTGTTTGTCGAGAGAACGCCACAATCAACAAATACGTGTTAGCAAACAACTACAGACCTACGGGATATTGATATCGAGTATTATTCCTTCTAGGAGTACAATTGAGTTTATTGTTACATTACAGTATCCCAATAAAATTGGCCTTCAACAGAGATACAAGGCTGAACGGAAGGTATATAGTACCGATTAATAAAAAATCTTAAAATATTACATTTACCATGATACGTAGATTCTAAATAATAAATCTCTTATCTGTCGAAAAAAATCTAGATATTAAACTGCCACTTCGTCTCTGCTGATCACATTAGTCTTTAACTTTAGAAAATTATTCCTTCTATTAGAACACACGATGATTACCTAGTCTAGTTCGTGGTAGGATGAATCAACTGATATGATAGCCTGTCTCAACTCACAGAAAAACATAAGAGTGTCAAAAATAAAATCTGTATTTCTGTTTTGAAAACTGACAAAACAAAGTAAATTGGCGTATTGACCAATTGATATCTTGATTTAATTTGAGAAATGCAGTTTTTAAAGAGTTTTTGAACGCATATTACTTTTGTATTGGAATTTACAAGTAATTAGATTTAACTATTATAATGAAATGCAAATACATTGGTGTGGCTAAGGCTCAATGATTTACAAACTCAATAATAACAAATAACAAAATTAAAAGTTGAGCTTATATAATTAGCGTCCAATACCTGCCAATTGTTTTTGCATTTTTAGTCATTAAAGTGAATTATCAACACAATATTTTATTTTTTCAATGATGGGCAATGCATCAAAAATAAAGCATATAAAGCATTAATTTTGCATTATTACTCTTCAATGATTAACAGATACATTGACATTTTTTTCTAAACCGTAAATAAAATTTAATAATAACAGTTTCTTCGTGATACACTTGTCCACAAGATTTAAAATAAACAAGAATAAAAGTCTTATCATAACACAAATGGTCTGAAATCATGTTGACATATAGATATTGAAATATCACAATGTCATGCTTTTCTCAGACTGTCGGTGACGCCTTCAACAAAACCCGTTGGCGTTTTACTAATTGACATTTTAGTCTTGGAGAACATAGCTAAATGTTTTTTGAGGGTTTTTTATTTTTGTTTTGTGTGCATATTACCGATCTGATGAATCAAGCCCTTTCACACTGATTTTCGCAGCTTGTCCTAAAGATGGGTTGTTTCGCCATTATCCCAGGTTAGAGGGGTTATTAAAGAGTCGTATTGTACAATATAGAAATTATTACACTTAAACCTATACTATTGATATATCCACTTATAGTGAATTTGGCTTTTAGACAAGTTCCAGACACAAACGAAATGAAACGACACAAATAACCAAAAGACATCTTGAGGTCAACACACAGTGTTCAACAATAAACAAGTGTCTTCACAAAATAATCAGCTTTAAACCGCCAAAAATCGAAAAAAATGTAAATATATTTAACAGAGAATATATAAGATCTGCCATCAATCTTAAAAATAACAATAAAGACTAAGATATGAGAGAAGACATTCATTGGCGAGGTTCCTGATTTGGAAAAGGACCATGAAGTGGCGTTAAATTATAGTTTTATGAGATCCCAACCTTTAACGATTTTTTCTCTCTAAAGATTATCGGAGTTTTTTTTTTTTTGTAATATTAGTTTATAATCACGGTTGCTTTGCGCACAATATCAAAAAAAAAAACCTCAACCAGAGACTTTAAAAAAATTGCGCAAACGAAATTCCTAAATTTATATATAAGGATCTTAGAAGTAGTTTTTTTTCGTAGTTAGTTGCTGTTATTAGATCACATGACATCATTAAACATATTAAAAAATAAATGAATCAAAGCATAAATTATTACTAGGAACGGATGATATTGATTCCCTGATTAACTTTTCTTTTTGAAGTTAATGCGCTATCATATTGCATGTGTCAAGTACATTGATCCCAATATAAAGTAATAACTATCACAGTAACTAAATCTTGGTTATATTAAACATATCCGGATATCATCACTGAAAAAGTGTATTACAGTCTCCAAGAAATGGTCTATAGAATTGGCGTAAAATTTTTATATAAGTTTCCTGTTCTCAACATAGGATTGAATTTCAATAACGTCTTTACTAGGTGAATAATTATGTTTTTTTTAATCACTGAGAACATATAGCAGAGGAAGAGTTGACGATATGCGTTCGTGTTGTGAAAATGTTCGTAGTTGATATGCTTTCGTGTTGTGAAAACGTTAGTAGTTGATATGCGTTCGTGTTGTGAAAAAGTAAGTAGTTCCTATGCATTCGTGTTGTGAAAAAAGTAAAATAACAAAATTACCGAACTCCAAGAAAAATTCAAATCGGAAATTCCCTTATTAAATGGCAAAATCAAAAGCTCAAACACATCAACACATCAAACGAACGGAAAACAACTGTCATATTCCTGACTTAGTACAGGCATTTCCTTATGTAGAAAATGGTAGATTAAAACTGGTTTATAGCTAGCTAAACCTCTCACTTAAAATTCCATTATATTGACAACAATGTGTGAACAAAACAAACAGACATAATAGGTAAAAATGTCAAAAATAGGAGTACAACAGTCAACATTGTGTTATAATTTTAATCACTATAAAAACAAAAATGTAAAAAAAAAGGCATATAGACAAAGCACATAAGCAAAAATAAAAGACAAGATTACAAAAAAATGACGATAGCACAACAACACATTGGCGGGATGCATAAGTACCAAGCCACGCCAAAAGGATATTACCAAAAATGGACTAAACAGTAAAGTTTAATAATTTACAAAGACAAATAAAAGAACACTATAACACGTAATTAAGATGATAAATAACGTCAGTACCTAGAATTTATACTTCAAGACCATAAGGTACTATTTGTGAAATTGATACGGAATATTTATCATCAAGGTCTTGGTATCTTCCGATGAACTTTTTTAGAAAAAGGACGAGACGTTCTTTGACATAACCCTGGTTCTTCAATTTTCTGCTCAGACACTGGTGACGTTTTATAATGTCTGGGTAGCAGCTGCAAGCACTTGAATACCGAATGAGTTGGGAAATGTGTATCCCATCTGCAGGTGAAATTGGTATATTGCTGCTAAGGTGGGGGAAATTGATCATTTGAAAATTAAAATCGTCTCGTTTGTCATAGATTCTGGTACTGAGATGACCGCTAATGTCAAATTCGAGGTAAAAGTCTAAAACTGAGGCTGAAGAAACCGTGTCTTTTGTTTCTTTAATTTCTAGTTCTGAAGGATATATTAATGGAACCCAATCAGAAAAGTTTGGATTGTTAATGGAAAGAACATCATCAATATATCTGAATGTAAAATTAAATGATCTGGTTTCTTTGATCTTCTTGTTTTTGTTAAGTGTCTGAAGGAACTCCGACTCATATGAAAATAAGAAGAGGTCGGCAAGGAGAGGCGCGCAGTTCGTTCCCATAGGAATGCCGACAATTTGTTGAAAAAGTCTACCTCCAAATTCAACAAATATGTTGTCAATAAGAAACTCCAGCATACTGATCACTTGTTCCTCTGTGTAGCATGTTTTACCTTTTTGTTAACAAAATATGCCGTATGGTATCCCAAGGTAATAAATTTATAGCGTATGCTACCATTTTTGTATTGAAAAGTATTGTGGATTATTTCTTTTAGACGATTTTTCAATTTCACATGAGAAAT